TTGGAGAGCCCTTTTAGTCTACATGCTAGAATAAAATGATAACAGACTTCTCTGCTGGTCTTCTATCACAGATGAATGATGACTGGTTGGTGCCGGAATAAAAGTAATTTAATTTTGGACACTGATTAACATCTTAATTCAGATGCTGGGATCCTTTTCTATCCAGGTCAGCTCATGAGGATTTGGTGAGATGAATTTCATAAGCCAACAAGGAAAGTGTTAGCCCAAGAACAGGGGACTTGCAGTGTGCAGTTGCTTACAAGTGCTTTCTTTTGACTGGAATCACTTGGTCAGCAGCAGAATGAACTTAGCCTTTAGTCTGTGCTATTAAATCTGAGACACTTAGTCAGAGGGCCCTTTGTTGCTGACTTGCTCCATACATAAGTGTTTCCAAAACCTCTTTCGTGGGAGAAGAGGAACAAGGGAGGACCAAATTCCCATGCCTAAATTCTTGTTATTGAAGGAATTCTCTGTAGACAATCCACATGATGTAATGCCCTTACCTATAAGGGCAGGATCCTAGCATTCCCTCCACATGTTCATCCCTTACCTGAAGGGAACTGCTTCTGGAATTTAAACAGTAAATGTGTGTTCTGCCAGTGGGACCTGCTGCAGTATAGGGTAATGTTCAGTGGGACTCAAAGTGGAGAGCCAGTCTATATTACCTAAAATCTGCACAACACCAGTGTCTCAGATGAAGGATATTTATTAGTGCATGTAAGAAACAGCAACATTTTTGTCATGTTATTGTTAAGCAAGGTGATTTTCTATGGCTTTCCTGCTCATTGCACCCAACATAAGTGGAGGGAAATTGGGTTTGCCCAGACATTTGTGGACCCTTTCTTCTGATCTATCCAGAGAGCAGGTCTGGAGTTAAGACAGCTGTTTAGAGAGGAAGGTTAAGATTAGACTGTGTTAGAAAAATGTTTTGTGTAATTTATGTTGATTTGACTTAACTGCCTAAGATGCAAGTGAACGGCTGTGGATGGATGGAAGTGTGTATAAAGTCCCTGCAGAAGGCAGGGTCCCAAACACTTTGTGCTTCTACTGGGATGACACCAAATTAATCTTTCATTGTGGAATGATTTACAAGGGTTTCTAGGTGGAATTGTCTACCTCATCACATTTTCAAACCTTGAATATGTAACCCTTTTAGCAGGGTCTCTAATGGGGCTATTATAGGTTGCAGACCAAAGAAGCTAAAGAGTGTCCTTAGAGCCATCTAGTCCAAGCCTTTGCTAAATCATTTTTATTTCATGGAGGAGCTGACAGACTCGGCAGAGGCACAACAGGTCATAAGGTACAATTTATAGTAGATTTTTAGATAGCGTGAGGAAAATACTCTTTAACTACTGAGAATATCTGCTATGTTGCTTAGCTTGTGGCTCTGGAAGTCTCTGGTTAGTGCTTTGTTTTCAGGTACCTCCGTAATGCTATCTAGCACTGCAGAGCTATAGCAGAAGGTTTGGAGATAACATGCACGTTCCTTTCCTTTTCCTTCCCCTGCCTTTTCTTGCCTTTTCAAGAGGCTGAAATCAGCACCTCTCCAATCATCTACTTTACTTGTCAAGTCTGTTTTAGGAAAAAGTGTCTGTCCGTAAAGTTAAGAGGCATCATATTCACAATGGCATTTTCTTACTGTTTTAAAAATTGGAATCTAAGAGCTCCGTTACTGACAGGAGGAAGTACGAAAATGCCAGTTAGAGCAACCCAATAAGGGCTGAGGCAGGCAGAAACTTTCAGCCTGTGAATAACTTGGAGCAGTAGCCTTGAATCACTTCTCCTAGGTGACAGATTGCTATTCAGAAGGGGTCAACTCTGATCTTGATTCAGTGAAGGTCATGCTGCTGATTCCTGATATATAGAAGTGAGTTTAGGACAAGAATCAGGCCCAAATAATTTCAAAGCTTTACAGGACAATGTCCAGTTGGGTAAGGTGCTGGTTCTAGGCTACCTTCTGTCTCCAAACTTGTACAAGGTGTATTCCTACCCCCAGGCTTACGCAGTGGTGTTTCTGGACCACTATGGCTATCAAAATGTGTTGATACAACAGAAAGTCCAGGCAGGATCATCACAGGGTAGGGGCAGCTTTTTGTTCTGCGTGAAGGAATTCACAGCTGAACCAGGATACAAACATGCAGTTAGGCTTAGGGAGAATGTTTGTGTATGTCTCCACAGATAGAAGCAAGACATCTGGAAGTCCCTGTGTAAATATTGTCCAATCTATTTTTATCTTCAAGAAATAGCATTTTGCCTTACAGTGATATGTGTAAGGAAAAACTGGTCAAGCAGTCTGTCAGAAGACCCTCTTCGTCTCCCACCCCAACCCAGTCTCCATCCCTGCACCTACCCAGGTTCTCAGTAAATGTCTTAGTCACAGCTAAGTGACTGCAGTCCGAGAAGGCA